TCGAAGTTTAAAGCAAAATACAGAACCAAATAGGGTGTAGATAAATGGAAGGATGAGAGAAAGATAGAAAAAAATATCAATGATATAGAATTCCAATATGTAAGGTCTATCGGCCGTCTTCGGTTCATGGAGCTGAAGATCAAGATTGGAATGGTGGGAAACAAGAAAGAGCAGCAGGATTAGAGGAAGAATTGTAAGATATAATCCTGCAGTTTCCTTGTTAGTAAAGTGCAACTTCATTGCACTTTCATTACACTTTCATTGCACTTTCATGGCACTTTCATAGCAGCCATTTAAGGCTGATTTTTCAGCTCAAGAAATTTCTAGGAAAGCCACTAGAATAGTTGTTTTTAGTTCTTATAAATAGGGATGCAGTTTTTCATTTGTAAACACACAGAAAAACTTAATACTCAATGTAATACATTGAGTTGTTCACAATCTTCTTCTTTCATCCTAAAAGTGTTCGTTTGTGTCGAAAGCATTTTTGCTTACTTGAGCAGTGAACGAGCGGGGTCTAACAATCATCACAAACTGAGAATTAAAATGATTAAAGTGTAGAAGTAAACCACTGAACTAAGGAAGTTTCATGAAAATAAATGTCTGGCCTAAAATCCAAAGAGGTACATGCCTATGCTAGGACCCAAAAAGAAGTGAAGAACTATTTAGAAACTAATGAAAACCAAATTGTGAAAATGAAAAAGCACAGCTGCCCACCACAAATTGATGATCTCCCCACTTGCAAGGAGGAGAAAGAAGATAATCAGACGATAAGTAAGGGCAGCGTTCATGGACACTCAATTTTCTCCCATTTTTTCCCGTTTGTTCAGCCTGATGATTTACGGGCCTTGACAAGCACAATAAAATTAACCCGATATTCTGGTTAGTAAATCCCAGGCTCTGAGGCTCACGACTAGATGCAGGATATGATGTGAGCTTCGTTGAAGGTTAAATTGATGTGAGCTTCGTTGATCTGCTAGTTATGTTCTGGGAGTTTGAAGCTTATGACAATGATAGGCTTTGCAAAAAAAAAAAGATATGTTATCCTCTGGGTTTGAGCAATTTTCAGAATCTGGTTGGGCCTAATGTCTTTGAAATCTGGCAGGTACATCCATATAACACACACTCACTTCCGCTCTCCATTTTCTGTCCACAAAACCCATGCCATGCCTATCAAGATTTTTGTGTCAAATCCATATATGTCATGTCTTCTACCTTGTGTCTAATTATATTTTTATGATACAGTACACATTTTTTTTTT